TAAAGCTGGTTCTACATTAGTCGTATCGCAGCGTCGCAAGCGTTGTGGTCCAATCAACGTCAAGCTAGCTCAACTCTGATTGGACTGCAACGCCTGCGACACGCTTGTGACGCTACGATGCAATCAATGTAGAACCAGCTTAAAGCTGGTTCTATATTAAGCTGGTTCTACATTAGTCGCATCGCAATGTCGCAAGCGTGTCGCAAGCGTTGTGATCCAATCAGAGTCGAGCTAGCTTGATGTTGATTGGACCGCAACGCTTGCGACGCTGCGATGCGACTAATGTAGAACCAGCTTTAGGAGCTGTAAGCTTATTGACTACTGCGTCACATTTTGTAGCGCGGCAAGCGTTTCCGCGTCCAGTGTGCAGGAACCATGAAGATGAAATCACACGGTGCGGAAAAAGATTGCGGAATAGAGAATGCGTCATTGAAGCAACCAATCAAGCGCTATTCCGAACAGCGCTGATTGGTTGCTTCAATGACGCATTCTTTATTCCACAGTTTTTTCCGCACCGTGTGATTTCACCTTCAGGAGCTGCGCAAAATAAAAGGAACAGAGATCAGAGAATAAGAATTTCAATCTATCAGAAACTGTATATTCCACAATACATGAATAGACATTATATTGAATATATCGAATTTAAATAATTAGAACGAAAAAATTTATTCGTTAGTTGATATATTAGATTGGAAATGCGTTACCTCCATGATGATTTTAAATGTAACTGAGTGGCATCCGGTTGTCCAATTCAACACAGGATTAGTTAGTCCAATGAAAGAACTTCAATCACTGTGAATTAAAACAGAAGCATAATTTATATTTTTTCTCAAAATCTTTATACACGTGAATTTTAAAATATTTATAAAATCTGAAAAAGTTTAAGAGATATCTTTTTCAGAAATTTTTATTAAAAAATAAGAAAAATTCTTGAAACTATTATAAGATTATATAAGAATTTTTACAAAAATTTTTTAAACATTGGTCGCAGAGAAACAAATTATGTTTAAAAATCTATATTATCAAATAGCAGCGAGAACTCACTGATCTGCTCCGCAACAGTTGAGTCTGTTGAACGCAACAAATGGTTAAGTGAGCATTCAGTAATTATTGTCTATGATTGGCATAGACCTTTAGATCCATAATGAATCTAGAAGAATATACCAATAGCAATAGACGCTCATTCAATTATTGGCTGCGTTCAGCAGAGAAAGCAGCTTTGCAACTGTTGTAAAATTCTTCAATATGATTGGTTTATACATTTAGATCTGTCAGGAACCAAAAGCAAGAACCAATCGTATTGAAGAATTTTACAACAGTTGCAAAGCTGCTTTCTCTGCTGA